GCTAATGCAACAACATTCCTGGGCATACGCTTCTGTCTCAGCATTTCCTATCATCATGCTAAGATCATTATACAGTTATTTCTTGAAGTTTTTTTTCCCTGTGCCTCCTTTTAGTGGTGCTTATTACTATAGCTGGTCAAACAATGCCACTTCCTAGTGGAAACAAAAAACTGTCTGAAGCTGTCGTAGTGAAGAACAACATGCTAGAGTGGACTGGAGACTTTCGTTTGAAAAAAATGACATTTTTCCATCCAATGAAGAATAAGAAGAAGAAACAACAAGACCGTTTCCATTGCTTCAGTCACATGTTCGTATTGACTAGACAAATTCATCAGTTAGCAAACATTCCCAAAGACTTGAGCAGGAAACAACACAGCATCCAGTAGGTAGTCAGTTTCTCGGTAAATTCAAAGGGAAGAAAATGCATCCAGATTGCAGTACACACATCATAATTTAGCTACTACACTAGAACATGAAGGCGCGCGTTGTTGCGCCTGTCCATCTTGGAAAAGAATCAAGATGGTTGAAACACATGATTCTATTTTAACATTTCAAATTAGTAAGGTTGAATTAAACATTTTCAGTGTAAAAACTTATCTGAATGGTTATGCTAAACCATATCTTTCACATGAAATTCAATGGACAATAAGTCAGGAGCTGAATAAACAGAGTAATAGCAATTGTAACATTTTTGTTTTTACTCTCGATGACAGTCACAAATATTAATGATCAAATTACATGTCAAGCACCTTGTGCAAAGCACAAACTAACACTGACGACTTGCTGTGGTGATGAAATTCAATCTTATTCAGACCAAAAACAACTACATCCTTCCAGGTAGTTTTGTCTGAAACCATGGTTTTAAATAGCCGGAAGGCCAAAAATAACCATCTGTATACTTCACATCCATCACACATGATCCTACATGCCTTGATCACAGTATGTGAAATATGAACATACTTCTTAGCTAGACTATGTTGTTTGAAACCTTGGATGGAAGACGCACAATTACATTAATAGCAACGCATAAGAAAGGAGCCGGGAGAAATCAAACATATTAATATACTCCTGTTTTCCTTGTAAGATGCATATTATGTCTCTCCATGATAGCATGTTTGCCAGCAGTAGAGGGAGGATATATATTGCTAGATATTAAGAAAACATGGGCAAATAAAGTCTTGTAAAAATATAACCATTCGAATCTAAAAAATAAACAAATATAAGAAACTGTGCTACTGTCATAAAGATTGGCTAGAGAGAGAAGCAAGCAATAGATCAACACTTATAATGAACAGTGTGTGCATATTTTGATTGGACTACAAAATAGAACTGTATCCTTCAAGTAAGAATGCCTTATCTTGAAGATAATAACCATATACTTGATGAGGGACTTGAATATTTCCTTTTTACGATGAATATGATGTAGGAAGGCCTGAAATTTCTTGTCCATAATAAAACATACTATATAGGAGCATCTTGTTTATATAGTTTTATGTTGAGAACAATTAAATGTTTACCATTTCTTGCTTCTCGTTAAAAGGAGACTAAAGCGATAGGCATAGATATCTTACAAATACATCCTACCTGCAGGCTATAAAGGGAACATTCGTGTCTGCCAAAAGAGCATGTTGAAGAATGGTGAGTGTTCATGGGATATGCAATAAGTAGTTCAACACTCAATACAGTAGGGATATGTAGGAAACAAATGAAGATGACTGTGTTACCTTGCTGGTAGCAACATAATAGTTGTTCTCAAAATAGAAATGGTAATCCGCTAAATTAATTTGTTAAACACATAACCATAGATTACACACATTATAGGAAAGACATGTTTTTTTTACCTAAGTACCCTTGACCATCTCGCATCGAAAAGAAAAGCAAAAACATTGCATGAGAGAACTAAAATATGCTTCGGTGTTGTGTCTGCCACTCTGCCAAACACTCACGGTGCAAGTGTTGATAGTATATGTTAGAGTACGTAATGGGGCTGGACTGACAGTATAGCCCGTTAGTCTTAGGGTTAATTAGAGATAAGGATCGCTTGCTTAGGGGTCAAATAAGCCTTGCTTGGGAGTCAAGTAATAAACCTCTCTATATAAGGAGAGGAGATGTATCAATCTAATCAAGCAAGAATTAAGAAGGAAATCCTTCCCCTCTTGCCTGGCCGTGGGCAAAAGGCCCCCGGCCGGCCCTCTCGCGCCCGCCTTCTAGCAGCGTCATAACAATTTGGTATCAGCTAGCTTCGGTTCGATCATGTCTTCACCGCCGCCAAGCCCATCTCTTCCGCTGCCAGTCAGCTCGTCGCCGCCGGGATCCTCCGTCGAGCCCGCCCCCGCCCCCGCCGTCCTCACCCCGGAGGAGGTGTTCGGGGTGCTGCGGGACCTAACCCAGGAGGTCCAGGAGATCCACATGTTCTTGGCCGGGTCCTACGGGCTGCCCCCGGCTGCGCCGCCCATCGCCGCCCCCGCGTCGCCGTGGCTGCCGTGGTAGCCGCCGCACCAGGCGGCCTTCGCCGGGCCACTGCAGCTGCCATCCATCGCCACCACCGCCCAGCCCTGGCTGCAGTGGCAGCCGCCGCTCCTAGCGGCCTCCGCCGCGCCCGGCGCTTTGCCGCAGCAGCCGCTGCCGCTGCCCGGCGCGACACCGCAGCAGCCACCGCCGGTCAGCTCCGCCGCCCAGTATGGGATGCCCTACGACGGGACTGCGACGACCTTGTTCCCATCAGCGCCGCCGCCATCCCAGGGCGTCCACATCCAGCAGATCAAGTCCCCGCCGGCGCAGTCACCGCTTCCGTTTTGGATCGCTACCCGCCACGTGTCGGCGGCGGTGAGGCTGCAGGCTGCTGCGCGCGGCCTCCTAGCGCGTCGGCGTGTGCGGGAGATGCGTGGTCTACAGTTGCCGCTCCTCCAAGTTGCCCTTCGCTGCGACCTCGATCTCGTCCGCTGCGTCGGGGATCTTGGGCATGCGGTTTCCCCCATGGGCGGCGGGCATGCTATTTTCCCCGTGGGCAGCGACCTCAAAGGCTGCGATATCGGCGGTTGGGGGGCGCACCCCTCCTCGACATTCTCCATCGCAAGCCCTCCACTCTTTCCTATGTAGTGCAGACCAACAGCCATACACATGCACTCCTTTTGTCCACGTGGTGTCCATGGGATCCAGCTGGCTGTACACGTGCACGTCCAAAATAAAGCGTCCCAGTCTATTTCAGCTTGAGAGTAATAACACAAGCCGAGATGTAAAAGGCTTGTTTTGAGGTGTTAGGTTTGTGTTGCGTCGAGTCATGGTTATAAGTTGGTTAGGCTGCAGCTCGAGGACAAGCTGCATGTCCAGGTGGGGTGTAGTGTTAGAGCATGTAATGGGCCTGGGCTGACAGTATAGCCCGTTAGTCTTAGGGTTAATTAGAGATAAGGGTCGCTTACTTAGGGGTCAAGTAAGCCTTGCTTGGGAGTCAAGTAATAAACCTCTCTATATAAGGAGAGGAGATATATCAATCTAATCAAGCAAGAATTAAGAAGGAAATCCCTTCCCTCTTGCCTGGCCGTGGGCAAAAGGCTCCCGGCCGGCCCTCTCGCGCCCGCCTTCTAACAGCGTCATAACAGTATATATCCCTATGTTTTTTCCAGCTACTCTGATTACTCCTGATGAGACAAGCACGTACCATGGCCATGTTGCAAAAAAAGGAAAAGAAAGCTAGTATCTTGGAGCATTATCATCTACTATCTCCTATTCTTATGCATTGATAGTTGGAGATTAAAGAGCAACGCTAGCAAACCTCATATCTTGCCGGACGCCTGACATGCCGTGTCATGACCATGGATCCAGATTTGTTCCATGCATAATTCATCTTCATCCTGGCACAACTTACCAATACTTGCATTCTTCCCTTCTTCTTTGCCCCTTAGCTTTGATATTCTCTTTCCTAATAACAATAATATAAAGATTCCATGGTTTTGATCCTGTGTTTTTCTTAAATATAAAGATACTTATGTGCCAAAAGATTGCACGTGGTGAATATGCACATATCGTACATTTCTAGAAAGCTAGGTACATGAGAAAATTAATCATGCATCACTAAGCAGGTGAATAAAATTCCCAAGAGAATTGAGCATAATCATCAGATAAATACGTTCAATGGGTATTGTCGATCAGGTTACTTACAGGTTCTGCAGAAGCGGTAGAGAGAGAGCTTCTTCATCAAACGTGCTAGGTTTGGTGCGGGCATGAAGGGAAAGGAGTTGAGAAGTTGAGAATGCGCCTCAACGGAGGCCACCTCCGAATCTCGATCCCGCTGCACAGCCGGCGAAATGTTAGGAGAAGATGGCTACGACAGTTGATGCATGTAGATCGCAGCGCCATCTTCCATGGATCCAGAGAGACAGACATTTCTCCTCTTGCGTTCTTGTGCCGCCACCGCATCCTTCCCCCCTCTTGCGATTCGTGCTGCTGCCACATCGTACAGGATACAGCCACGAAGAGGGAGCATCGAAGGTGGGCTACAGGTAAGGCATGGTCGCGGAATTGGTGATGGGGAAGGAGCAGCTAGCAGAAGGTCATGGCGGAGGCGACGACGACGGCGACACCTAGGGTTAGATCGGTGCCGAAGGAGATTACAGAAAAAGAAGTACGCAATAGTAGTATGTGGGGATTTTAGGTGGCCTGCTGGACTGGACCTGGGCCTTGGCCCGCTTATGGACAAAAATTGTAGCTCGTTCTGCGGAGCAGCGGCCCGCTAAACGGTGAGTGGAAGTGCGCGAGCGACTTGGGACGACCAGAGCTGATCTGGATCGTACGTTGGAATGATCGGATGGCTGAGAGTCTCAAAGCTCTGTGGAGGCTTCTAGCTAGCTACATCTTATTGTTTAGTAATTGCGAGGTCCACACAATCATGTATTCTCAAACAATTAATAACTAGTAGTCTCGAAGTTAAAACTACGACTGGACAGGCATCATACGGAGTCATCACTCTAGCTGTTGCGAGCGTGTGAGCGCTATGAGACTCATCATTCCTTCACCCTTATCTGGTGGACTATTATCTCCACAGATGAGGAGGATCCCTGGGTGAGTCGCTCCTTAACCCGACGCCTTCTAGCTTCATCCACCTGGGATATTCTTTCAAAGTCGTGGCAGCTCTCACATGGGAGTTCACGACGCAGCACGATTCTCTTCAGCCCCACAGCTCGTTCCATGACTAGCCTTATATAGTTTGTCACCTTGTCTTCCTCTTCAAACCCTTGAACCCCCAGCCTCTTCAAGTTGAAGTGCTTGAAACCCTTGGATGGTCCCCACACCACGTTTCTCTTCTCCACACTGTCCTCGGCCGTTTTGGCACATGAATGTCGAGTTCGAGATAACTTCATGCAGGGACACAGAAAATAAAAGATGCAAGTTAATTAAACCTGACACAAACCCATGCAGCATAATGTAGTAACAATTGAAATTAAATATATCTTGCATTAAAAATTTAAACACCATCAGTACTTGTATCAAATTTTAGGCCCGCGTAGAGTTTTTGAAAGTAACTTGCATGAATTAAATCCTAGGCAAAGTAAGACACACGAATATGCTTCGGATAACTCTAAAACGAGGTACGATCCAGCATGATTTTGTTTTTGTCTTGCATGGACATTGCCTTTCTGCAAAATTCAAATGGAACGGCAGAACTTCCATTTGCATTGCATTATCATTCGTATGCAATACAATCCATGTGTTCCATATATCCCAATTACTATGCAGCCTGTACACACTACTTCTAAAGTTTGTGATGTATTAGAGTCTGTGAGTGATCAAAAATCAGATTAACTTGGTGGTATGTTGTTAATGCTGAATATTCGGAAACCTGTCACACTAGACAGAGTCGTATCCAGGCTAAGATGTGGATTAAATTCAAAAGAAGGAAGAGTAACATGCTTACTGTGAACTTCTGCAGGGCAGGTGCAGCTTCAAGGATAAATAGGGTCCAGCTCAGATCACACTCAGGGAAGATACCAGAAAGGGACACATCGGCCAGATTTCTTAATATAGCAGTGAGGTGCTTCGGATGTTCCGGCTGAATCCATATCTGCACCAAGAAGAGGAACACAAATAGACAGCTGATATTAGTAAAGAAGAACATATGTTATGTGTGCAGAAGAACTTTATATGGTCCGTAGATAGAAATTTAGCTTTACCATTTGCTGGTGAAAATTGAGATGCAATGTCGACAGGTTCGTTGCACTCCTTGACAAGCACTCACTCAGCAGGAATGGCGCCTGCCACGCCTCGGCCCTACAAGGGAGGCTGACTCCACGAAGCTCTGGAACATAGCCGAAGCGCACCGGAGGGCTCTTAAAAGACCATTGGCAGTAAACTTCATTGAGCTTGGGGACAGAGATGAGCTCAATGTGCGTGCACTCAAAGTAGAAGAGCTCGAGCTCCTGGAGCCCAGAGCTGGGCACGTTGATCTTGAGCACGGATTCCTCATCAACCAGTTCGCATAAACTCAAGGTGAGGTGTATGAGTCTGTCACAGGCCCTAATGAGGTCAGTGATGTCGGAGTGCCCAAACGCAAGGTTCTTGAGGGTAAGAAACCGTGAGCCACCCGAAAGTGACCCGGTAGTCGCGGGAGAAGGACATGAAGTGCTGCCCAAACTCGGCGAGCCACCGGGCAGTGTTTCTCCTGTATGGCGAGCCTGTGCCAAAATGGAGCCTTTTGGTTTTGCCGCGGCTGACAACGTGCTCAACGGCGCCGCTGATGGAGCTCAGGTGGGGGGGCGACAGGTAAAAGCTTAAAAATGAAAATAAAACAAAGAAATGATAAGCTGCGACGACTGAGAAGTGCATCCCTCGTCTCCACTCGAACAACCCCACTAGCCGTCTCAATAGTGGAAGTCATGGGGTTGTTTTACGGAAGCTTCTGTCACCGGTTTCGGAAGTCTTCCGAATAGGTTTTTTATTTTTATTTCTCTATCCGGTTTTCCAGTTTTCTCACTTTTTCTCTCCTTATTTTAAATTTTTTATTTCTTGTTTTAAATTCATGAAAATATCAATTCATGAACTTCACTACCAGAAAACTGACATATGCCTACGGCCAAATCAATGCCGACGGCTGCCGTCGGCCTAGCTTGAGATATGCCGACAGCCTCGTCCTCGCCGTCGGCTTATCCTGGCCGTCGGGCTACCCTGATATAAGCCGACGGCAGCCGTCGGCACAGAACGGCCGTCGGCCTATCTACGAACACGCCGACAACAGCCGTCGGTATAAAAAAGCTGTCGGCCCAGCGACCCCGCCTGTGACCAGCCTAACGCCGTCAACCCTATGCCGACGGTCGGGACGGGCGGCCGTCGGCATATCTCCGCATGCCACGTCATCGATCCGCGGCGTAGATATGCCGACAGCAGCCGTCGGCATAGGCGCCACGTCACCGATCCGCGGCACGCCTCCTCCCAAAACCCTGTCGTTTCTATGCCGACGGCAATGCCGTCGGCATAGCTATTTTTTTACAAGCTTTTTTTTCATATGTTTTCATGCTTTTTTTACATATGTTTTTATGCTTTTTTTAAAATATGTTTTTATGCTTTTTTATGTATTATATGAATATATATATGTAGTTTGTAATTTTTTCCATAGATTATGAATATATATATATAGTTTGTATTTTTTTCGAGCACATTAATAATGTGCCGTCATGTTCTTTTGAATATAGGTCCTTCTATTTTATTAAAATCAAAAACAGCTATGCGACAGAAGTTTAGTGGCGGTTGCAAACGCCCGGCACCCGTCTCCGGAGTGTCACCCCCTCACGTCCGTGGTGTGCCCCCCTCACGGACGGCGCCGCCGCCGGCACCTGGAGGGGGAAACGGACGCATCGGGTCTACATGGAGGGGATGTAACAGTCGGTTTGGCCCAGATGTTGCTCCCAGGTGTCCCTCTGAGCTAACCTGACACAACCGGG